TTTTTTGCTTTTTGTTACCTTCTAATAAAACCCACTTCTCAAAACATATATTTAAAGGATAGAATTGTAAAATTGGTATGTATGATTTTCTTTTCCTTTCATTTTTCATTTAATATCAAACGATGAAAAATATATGCCTTCTATTTTTCATCCCTCCTTCTAAACAAAAAATAGGAAAAATAATTTTATTTCTTTTATGGATAAAAAATTTATTTCTTCCACTTTTCTTTCTTTCCTATTTTTCATCCTTTGTACTAAACGAACCATAAAATTTTCCCTACCCAACCAATTAAGACCCTATTCGACCCAATTGATCAGCTTCCATGAAAAATCGGCTAATTAATAGAAAGATTTTGGTATTTCACAAACCGTCAGGATAGAAATATAAAATAACTTTAAAATTTTTTTATTCCTATCTGACCCGCATGTGTATGTTTTTTAAAATGAAATGTGTTAATGTGTGCACAAAAACGCGGAAATCCCTAGCCCCTCCTCTTCTGCGAGCCTGAGAGACTATGGCATCTTTCTGCTTCTCTCAGTCGATCCATCCCTAGCTCCTCCTCCTCCTCCTCCTCCTCCTTTCGAGTCTCAGAGACTCTCGCCTCTCTCGCTGCCTCGTCTTCGAAGCCACTAGCCACAAGCATCCCAGGTTCTCTCTCTCTCCCCTCTATCCTCTCTGACTCTCTGTGCGACAGTCTGTGTGTGAGTCTTAATCTCTGTTGTTTTTTCTGAAATTGAAATCAGATGATGAGAGTTTCAGAAGTTTTTTTTGGTTAAGCTAAATTATAATGGGTTTTAATCTTTGATCTATATTTGGGGTCTTTTTAATATGTAGGGCTTAACTGTTGAGCCGGCCATGGCTGGTTTTGATTTGGATTTTGAGTTTCTTTTGAGTTATTTGCTAGTTCTATATCAATGCCGAGTGTGGTGATTATTAGAGGTTGAAATGGGTTTCGGCTTGGTTTTGATTTGGGGTAGGGTTTGTGAGCTATTATTTTTGTTTAACATCAATGCCAGAATGGAGCGATTCATCTGTTGAGACTTGTGGAAGAAAAGCTTAATGATCTTTTCCATGCTTGTATGCAATTACTGTCTTTTTCAAGGGGTTGGGTTAAATAGTGTCAGAATGATTAAATTTTGATGTTGAGTGCCTTGTGGATCTGGGGAGAAAAATTGTTCTATATTATGAGCCATGATTCCTTCATAATCTCAGAAAAGGGTTTATATTGTCAACCCCAAATGGTTCGGGACATGTTTATCTAGAACTGATACTTTCTGTATCCCTTTAAGAACTCATCCAACTTCAATAAGTTAGGTAACTCTTTTTTGAAGATCAAGTTGATTGAGTTCTGACGTGGTTGGTGAAAGCTTGTAACTGCAAAGAAGTACAACAAAATCTCAACATATATGGTACTATTTTTTGACAAAAAATGATCCTTGAACAACTTTCAAACAGTCGCTGTTAAAATTCATGAGTTAAAGGTTGAACTCAATCTCAATTATCACTAAGAACTCAATGGTTTTTAATCAGAAGCTCGACTTTGTTCCTTGTCTCTGAAGCTTCCTTTAAGTGCCTAACCCACAGATCTTAGTGCTGTTACTGAGGGTGGGCATTATCTTATATGTTAGACATAACTCTAGATGTATAGCAGTTTAGAAACTTGAGAACATAGAAAAATGTAATAAGAAACTAATTAACGGTTCAGATGTTTAATGTCTGCCCTTGTTATTTTGGTGGTAATTATTTTCAAGAGAAGTTTTCCAGCATGTAGATTTTCCTTTGTGTTTCTGATTAAGTTTGGTGAAATATAATATAATATTTGGCACTTGATGGAAACTGAGAGTTACAATCTTAGTTTTTAATCGATTGAATCTTATGAGGATAATGAAGATGTGCTACCAGGTATAGCAAGTTTTTTTGCTTCTATGATGTTGAGTGTGGCCATTTTAACCTCTTTCTGCTTTTTTTTTTTCTTCGTATTCTGACATCTATGTGTAGTTCATCTCTAAGTTCTTCCAATATGGAACCTAGAATATGACATTTAAACATGTCTAATTGAAAATTTTGCCTATCCATTGTCGACGCTATTAACTGTCTGGTTAACCGTTAACGCTTCTCAGATCATACGAGAATGATATTTATCACTGGATCTGTTCTCTTACTAGGTGGAGACAATGATTATCACAAAGCAGTATCGTTGCATACACTCAGCTAGCTGTATGTGCTCAAAAGGGCATCTTACGGAGGAAGTGATATTTCTGCTTTTTGAGCATTTGAACTGGAATCCTAAGTTGATTGCAGCTCTTTCTTGTGCTTGCAAATGGTTTGATGATCTTGCTAAACGAATACTTTGGAAGGAGTTTTGTAAGACTAGAGCTCCAAAGATGATGGTTGATCTGCAATCTAGTGGGAGTCATAGTGTTGATGGGAACTGGAGGGCGCTTGGGAAGCTGCTTATTTACTGTTCAGGATGTAGCAAGGGGGGCTTGTTTAATAGCATTTCTATTCCTGGACACTTTGTCTACAGAACCCGGTTCTCTAGGACATCAGGGAAAAGCTTTCTTTTACCTCAATGCAGAACAGATGTTTTGTATGTGTCTGACCCTTGCGAACATCTTGATCAAGGGGAAGAAGGGGATGTAGGATTCTTCCGGGGAGTTTTTAAGTCTTTTGCTTCATCAAAGGTGAGAAAGATGCTGATTAGGATGGGGGCTCAGTTACATCCAACGGAGGTTTGCCCCTATTGTAAGGCAAAGTTGTGGAGCATGCTGCAAGCAAAGATGATACCACAGAGTGCTAGCTGCAGGTTAGGTTCTTATGAAGATTGCATTGAGTACTACGTGTGCCTCAATGGCCATGTGCTTGGGATTTGCACCCTCTTGCCATTATCAGATTCAGATGAGGCATCTGAGTTGGAGTGATCTTAGAATAGACCAAGGTATATTCTCATACTTTGATTTTCATTTCACATTTTGATGGTAACATAATTTTTCTTTGCCAATTCAAAGTTGTTGACTTTTAGTTCATGTGAAATCACCTGTCCTAAGTATTTTCTTCTTTGCTTCGAAAAATAAATGGCCAAAAGACATTGGTTTACCTTTTGCTATACCATTCAGTAAATGTACAGAGAAATTTTTTCCCTGGATACAGATAATAATGTATCTAACAGTATACACCTTTCTGTTGACAGTTATTCAAACATTGCAAGTAAGAATTTGAGTCTCATGGTCCATATTAGACAGATTTTGGAAAGCCGGACAGTAACAGGCTGTTTATTCGAAGATGAGATCCGTTGTTGTAATATCTTCTACATGTACACCTATGTTGCTTCTTCCTTGGCTCACTGCAAAAGGGTCTAAAAGCTACTGCTAACCATTTGTTTCATTATTGTTGCATTAAAGGTTGTTCCTGTAATCCATGTAATATTATGTACATTGTATGACTATTATGTATTTGCTGTTGAACTGCAGGTTGGAATGTAATATTGTGCACATTATTATAACCCTGTTGATTTGCATGTAACCTTGACTTTCTTGGGATTCCTTCTTCCTTCCTTGTTCCTTTCTATCTTTTCCTAGCCGAAGATACCTTTGATACCTTTTTTTCTCGGCTCGGTGGTGATATTGAGGGCTGACAAATTGTTCTCTGCTACCTCTTTATCTGGTTTGTGGCATTTGTTGTTTATCTACTGTATCTCATTTTGTGATCAAGTTTCCCACCATTCCTACTAGTGTCGAGGTAAAACTAAAACCCATCTTACAAGTGTTATCAGGCTTTAGTCTTTCACATCTTTCCTGCAAAGAAAGGGAATCCATATTCGTGTGAGTAATTAATTGGCAATGCATCTTCAAAAGCCCCATTAGTTGAAAATCAATGTTGGTGACTGTAACAGCGACCTCCCGCAAGACCAAGAGAGCATAGTTCAGTGTCCCAAACCACTGCGTGGGTGGCCATAATAATAGGTGATGGCTCCTTCTAAACTTTGAATATCCCAGAAGTTGCTGAAGCTATTGAGTAACACTAGGGGTGGCAATGGCAAATTCGGATCATGCCATTGAGGATTCTACGGATTAAATGTTTGGGGCAAAAATTTACGAATAATCATGTGAAATGTAAGAAAAAAAATTGGAAAAAAAAGAAGAGAGAAATAGTTGAATTGCGAGATTTGGCAAAAACTTGATTCCATTCCAACGTACCGAGATATGCTGCTAAGGCAGAAATAAAATTAATGCTTTAACTTGTATGCATCGATGTATATGAACATGATTGTAAGTAATAGTTACAACGATAGAGTGAAGAGTGTATGTATTACACTACTTATTCAATCATAATGTTTTTTTAGTAATTTAGGCACCTAAGATATATTAAACGTTACATTAATATTATTTCAAACTCCTGTTATGTGTGTGTAGCTGTTCAATAGTATAATTCATAAGAATTGTAAATATATACATATCATCATGACTAAATACACCTTTGTTAATAAACAAATTTAAACATCTGTTTGTCTCTCTCATCTGTTGCTTAACCCTCATTTTTTGGGATATAATATTTTATTTCATTACTATTTTTATATTCTTTTTATTTGTTTTGTATATTGTTCATAAAGATTATGGTATTACATAATCGACTACCATAATACATTTATAATTCTTTGTTATCTTGTTATTGAATTATTTTACTATTTTTTTAATTTTTTTATGATCCTTAACTTGTTTATATATGTAACGTGCACCCATTGTTTTATTGTGTTCTATTTTTCTTGATAACAATTTTATTGCATTTTTTTATATTAAATACTTTTTATTGTAAATTTTATATGAAAATAAATAGTTTAATTAATTGATTTTTTGTGTTTAAATGAAAATAAAATTGAGTTTAAAAGAAGTAAAAAATATGTTTGATTTTATTTTTATTTGTAAGAGAGAGATATTTATTATATATTTTTATCGAAGTGTTAACACTTTTTTTATCATTTAAAATGTGAAGGCGAGGAAGAATTTACTTTTGGACTTAAATTTTAAATTTTATTTTGTAAACTTTATATTTCAAGTGTGTTCAAATTTTCCGTAACTCTGGCTCAGCCGCACCACCTAGGATGCGAGCCACCTGAACAGCGAGCGGCTGGCGCAGTATAGAGCGGAGGAGCAAGGTAATAGATAAGATAGAAGAAGGGCCAGGCTTCCGGTGGAAATCGGCCGGCTAATAAAAGGATTTTTGCCATTCCACCTACCCGCCCCCATGTATTTTTTTTTTTTTTAAACATTTTTTAAAAAATATATGTTTTAATGTGTGCACTAAGATCGATCGATCCCTCTTCGAGTCTCAGAGACTCTCGCCGCCTCCTCCTCCTCTTCGAAGCCATAAGCATCCCAGGTTCTCTCTCTCTATGACAGTCTCTGTGTGAGTCTTAATTCCTTTGCTTTTCTGAAATTGAAATCATATGATGAGAGTTTCAGGAGTTTTTTTGTTAAGCTAAATTGGAATAGGTTTTAATCTTTGATCTATGTCTCATTATTGAACTCTAAAATTTGGGGCCTTTTTAATATGTAGGGCTTAAAGCCCATGCTTTTTTGACTCTACTGTTGAGCCGCCATGTCCTGCAACCTCAATTTTGAGGTTGGACAGCTTCATTTGGACGAAGAAATTAGGATTTGAATTTTGATATTTCTTGGGTTCAGAATATGGTGGAAGTATTGACGTGTTCACTTGCAATTACCATTGCCCTAAATGGATATAATTACAAACATCAAACCTATGGTCCAAGAAGTAATGGATTTAAAACTCCCAGTGGGTGTTTTCCTTGTTGTCCATATCTTAGGTTAGAGAGGAAATCAAACAGCAGGAATTCCAAAGTCTATGGCCTCAACATTGTGTCCATGTCTGAGGCGTGGTACACTTGGTTTGGAGTTACACAAACGAGGATGCCAATGGTGGATACTGATAATCCTCAGATTATCTCTCACAAGGTTACAAGGGTTGAATTTGAGTTATCTGGTGAGGAAGATGACCCATTGGTTCAAATAGGAGGAGCCGAGGAAATATCTAGTCTAAATTCTCTTGAACAGAAAGACTCTAGTGTCCAAATTGCTGTTGTTGATCAAGCTTCAAGGGGTTCTAAAGGAATGGTGACTATGAAAAAAAGTAGGTTACATTTTCTAGAGGAAAGGAATGAGGAGCTATTTTCAAAAAGGATTTTGAGGCTTAGCAGGTCAAATAAGGTTAGAAGTGCATTGGAATTGTATAGGTCTATGGAATTTTCAGGTCTTCGGCCTAACTTACATTCCTGCAATTCTCTTCTCTCCTGCCTCTTGAGGAATGGAATGCTTGAAGATGCTCTAAGTATCTTTGAGATTATGAAGGCAAGTGGTGTAACTACAGGCCATACTTATAGCTTAATACTGAAAGCAATAGCAAATGCTCGTGGTTGTGATGCAGCGTTAGACCTGTTTGAAGAATTGGAAGGGAAGAGTATTCATAAAGATTTTGATGTAGTCGTCTATAACACTTTGATATCAGTTTCTGGCAAAATGAACAATTGGGTTCAGGCTCAGAAAATTTGGAGAAACTTGAAAGAAAATGGTCATATGGGAACACCCGTCACTTATCGCCTTTTAGTTTGTATATTTACCCGTTGTGGTCAGAATGAGTTAGCTCTTGATGCATACCACGAGATGATTCAACATAAACTGAAACCCGGTGATGATGAAATGCAAGCTGTTATTGGAGCATGCACGAAGGAGGGGAAGTGGCATTTGGCACTAAGTATCTTTCAAAACATGTTGAACAGTGGGCTTAAGCCAAACTTAACTGCTTGTAATGCATTGATTAACTCACTTGGGAAAGCTGGCGAGGTCAAGCTCGCGTTTGAAGTCTATGGTCATGTGAAATCCGTAGGTCATGCTCCTGATGCATACACATGGAACGCGTTGCTTGGTGCCTTGTACAGGGCAAATCAACATGCTGATGCTCTTCGGCTCTTTGAGAGCATCCAAAAAGGGCAAAAATCTGCATTAAATTTACATTTGTACAACACCATTTTAATGTCTTGCCAGAGGCTGGGGTTATGGGATAGAGCTCTGCAGCTGCTTTGGCAGATGGAAACTTCTGGACTCTCCATCTCAACTGCATCATATAATATTGTGATTGGAACTTGTGAAGCTGCAAGAAGACCCAAAGTTGCATTGCAAGTTTATGAGCACATGGTTCATCAAAAGCATACTCCAGACACTTTTACTCTGTTGTCGCTGATAAGAGGATGTGTTTGGGGTTCTCTTTGGAATGAAGTGGAGGAAATCCTAAATGTAAGTAATCATTTCATGACATCGCAAACCACCTATTTCAACTACTCTTTTAACTTTGCATCCTTTTAGTAGTTGCTCACATATCATATAGGCTATCAAAACAAGATCTCTTTGGTTCTTTGACTGGAAAGTTCTGTTCAAAAAATAGCAACTGCCGTATTATGAAACTTCTACAAATCAATGAAACTGTCATTTTCTTACTTTGTGATGTAAATCCTTGATTAGCTAGGTTCCAATTACTAGTTCCAAAATAGATTTTTACCTATACTTGCAATTTCCTATCCATCATGAGTCGAGGTCCTTGAGGAGTGAGGACTGTTAGTATTTAGGGTTTAGGGAATGTTTAACTCTATAAGGACTGTTTGTCATGCAGCAGGTTGCACCCAATGAATCACTCTACAATGCCGCTATTCAGGGAATGTGCTTAAGGGGCAAGATTAATTCAGCGAGGAAGCTGTACATGAAAATGCGTGAGAGCGGTCTCAAAGCTGATGGCAAAACATGGGCATTGATGCTGCAGAACTTATCAATAGATTCAGTTAAACAAAGAAACAGGTGGTATTCTTTTCCTGCAAAAAGCGTACCAATTGGCTTCTTGTCATCATGGCTAAAATCATTTTTTTCTTCTTATAGATGATTTTTTTCAAGATTAACAGTGAAGGAAGTTGGCGCAACAAAAAGAGAGAAAGCAGACAACTTGAACAGCATATTTATGTGAATCAGCGGACAGGACCAATAGGCTGGCCCCCGGATACATAAGGTTATCACTTACTGCTTGAAAGCATGATGAATCCACATAGAGGGAGATTATCTCGAAAATGAGCACTCAATACTGCCTTGATGAAAATTCCACCCTTATGGAGTTGGAGGGTACATGAAGTTAATTCGGCTGGAAGTGTTTTAACTTTTGAACCATGCTATCTGCACTCTCTTTCTTTTTCAGTCCGAAAATGTAAATGTAGACATCTTCTTTTCGTTTCAAATTTCCAAACCTTTTCAGTTACCGCCTCCTTACGCTTGAAAGAATTTTCTATGAACAATACGCTTGAAAATGATCAACCAGGTCATGTTAGGTAGGGGAACAAATAGCCTGTGAGCATATGAAGGACATGATTCATCAGTTCATCCAAAGGATCACCGCCTGTAATTTTTTTCCTCTAATTTTCAAGGGTTAATAAAATCTAGATCTTGGATTAAAACTATCAATGTCTATAGAGATTTGTATGATTCATATTACAAGTGATTCACCTACAAATTATCCAATTTTGTTACTTTCTTATATACACCGTCATTGGTTACTGACACGTAAAAAGGTTTAGATTGCTATGCTACAAACTATATATGTATATAACTCTGATTTCATTATTATGCTCAAAGTTGTGTAATACTTGTAACAAACATGTAAAATTCAAGTTTTACACTAGTAATTTTAGTGACTTTAGTACGTACAAGAAAGTCTAGACACTCTGTGAGAAAGTTTCAGTGTTTTCTGCATAAGAGTCTGGCTCAGATTCCAATCTCTTGAAAACAAGTTTTTGCTGAGGAAGCTGGCCGTTAGAAAATGCCGAGACTTCTGTATCTATCACTATAGTGTCTTCATCCTTAAAGTCTCCTCTCAATATGCCCTTGGCTAGTTCATTTTCGACATACTGTTGAATCACCCGCTTCACTGGCCTAGCACCATAGTTCGGGTCATAACCAAGACTTCCCAAGAGTTCAACTGCAGCATGACTCACTTGAATTTGGATCTTACGATCTGCTATCCTCTTCTGGACACGTTCCAACTATAATACAGAAAAAACACAAGATGAATCAGAGTTGCATTTAGAAGGAAATAGTAATATGAAGAAAAATTTCTCCACTGAAAATTTATTAAAAAAAAAAAAAAATAGACGAAAGAAACCATTTTGAAATTATAGCTTTAATAGTTATGTCAAAGAGAATTGAGATCTAGTCAAGAAAGACATCACAACAAAGTGGGGTTACCAGGCAACATATTCATCCGTAGTATAATTCTTCAAAGAAATCAAGTATCAATCTAACTATTCATCCGTAGTTTAGACATACATAATTCTGTAATTTTTTTTCTTTGAACTGGTTCTGCTGTTTAACAATTGAGTTATTCTCCATGTTTGATTTATACGCGGTACAAGCATAAGTGTACAGTGAGATACCTGTAACCTGACAATACTGTTGATTTGATCACGGTCAAGAGGCTGGAATACTATGTATTCGTCTACCCGATTCATGAATTCTGGACGAAAAATTGATCTAGCAGCATCCATGACTCTTCTCTTTATAATCTCATAAGTTGTCTCCTTCGATGAGGTCTCATCCTCTGTATTGAGTATGTATTCTGAACCCACGTTAGAAGTCATAATGATCACTGAATTAGTGAAGCTAACAGTGCGACCCTGCGAGTCAGTCACTCTACCATCATCCAAAATTTGAAGGAACACATTGAACACATCAGCATGAGCCTTTTCTATCTCATCAAACAAAATAACAGCATATGGCCTCCTGCGAACCGTCTCTGTCAGCTGTCCTCCTTCTTCATACCCAACATAACCTGGTGGGGCTCCTATCAATCTTGAAACCGCATGTTTTTCCATGTACTCACTCATATCGATTCGTACAAGGGCTTCTTCAGTGTTGAACATATAGGAAGCAAGGGCCTTGGCTAGCTCTGTCTTTCCAACTCCTGTAGGTCCCATGAACATGAAACTAGCGATTGGACGGTGAGGATCTGAGAGGCCAGCTCGAGATCGTTGGATAGCCTCGGCCACAGATTTGACTGCAGGATCTTGACCTATAACACGTTTGTGCAGCTCTTCCTCTAAATGTAATAGCTTCTCCCTCTCAGATTGTTGTAGCTTTGAAATAGGAATGCCTGTCCACTTACTTACAATCTCGGCAATGTCATTACCAGTAACTTCCTCCCTAAGCATGGATTTCCCAGAACTCATATACTCATCCAATTCTTTTTGTGCAGTTCCAAGTTGACGCTGCAAAGAGTTCAGGCTCCCATACTTCAATTCTGCTGCACGATTAAGGTCATATTCCCGCTCAGCCTGTTGGATCTCAAGATTAACTCTATCAATCTGCACATACATAAACCAGTTTAGTGGAATTCTGATAAGAAAAAATTAGTACATTAATTACATATTTAGTTATTTCCAATCACAGGTTACATAACAAGATGTTTATACTCTTTTTTTGCCATCAAGAGTCTAATTCTCACATAAATCAAAATAGATACAAAAATTTCTATCAAGAATAACAAAATAACAAACATTATACCTCTTCTTTAATTGATTGTATGCGTGTCATGACAGTTTTTTCGTGTTCCCACTGCTCAGTCAGCTCAGCTTGTTTCTCCTTTAAGAGAGACAACTCTGCCTCCAGACGATTTAACCTATCTTTTGAAGCTTTGTCCGTATCATTGGTGAGAGAGAGCCTCTCCATCTCCAGCTTCAATACAGCACGGTCGATCTCATCAAGAGCAGTTGGTTTTGAAGTGATTTCCATTTTCAGTTTAGCGGCCGCTTCATCAACCAGGTCAATGGCTGCAGTTGAAATGAGTAGATCAGAACTCAATCTAACTTCTAACAAAAGTATAAGAGGTGTTGATGTAAATACCACTGCAAAAACAGATTGTAATTCATAGCCAATAGTGAAAGTAAGTTTATATTTAAGTTTGACCTAAATATGTTGTTAAACTAGCATGCATATTCGTTTTTATGTAACATCTGATATTGAAAAAATTGTCATTGCCAAAGCTCAAAACTGATCTGCCTGGAAACGAATCCTGTGAAATAAACGGGCATCCATCAATCATGAGTCCAGAATCAACCAAAAAAATATAATTCTATCACCTGTGTCCAGAACTGCAATATTTATCCAATATTGAAAACAATAACCCACATGTTTGCTTGGTCAGTACACTCTCAACCTTATCAAGTCTATGAGAGGGATTGCTCACTCCAACAATGAAATCATGGGAAACTCTCAACCTATATAAGCCTCGGCAACCCCTCCACATCAATTAATTTTTTGAAAACCACGCATGTCTTCATCTTAACAGGATCTCAAATATTCCATAGAGCTGCAATCTTCTAGTTCAATACTTTAGATTCTGACTGGCCAATATGCATGAGAGACTTCAGCTAGCAGTTACTAATTCAGTAGATCTTTCATGCAAAAGGATTACTTGAACATGTTAGGCTTCTAGGTTGTAACTATTACCTTTATCAGGAAGAAAGCGTCCACTAATGTAACGATCTGAGAGAATTGCAGCTTCCACGAGTGCCCCGTCAGAAATGCGGACCCCGTGATGTAGTTCATATCTTTCGCGCAGTCCGCGAAGTATAGAGATTGTATCTTCCACTGTGGGCTGGTCAACATAAACTTGCTGGAAACGACGCTCCAACGCCGGATCTTTCTCTATGTACTTACGATATTCATCCAATGTCGTGGCACCAATACATCGCAATTCCCCCCGACCAAGCATGGGCTTCAAGAGGTTGCCAGCATCCATTGCACCATTGGTGGCACCTGAAATAAAAGTCAATAGGTTATTTGTTTTCATCCATTGATTATAACACAAACTTCATCCCAAACTACAGGATCCAACATTTACTAGTCATCAAACACTGGCAACATAAAAGAATAAGAAAAAATCAGATCATTTTCATTTTAATACAACCAAGTTGAGGGAGTGGTTTATGAGAAATCATAGAAATCCAACCACAGAGAAGGAGATCATGACATAAGTTTTATGGAGACAACACCAATCAACCATCTGACATTCCTTCAACCAAGCAACTGCAAACTAAGATACCCAAAAGAAAATGTTCTCCAAGTAAGTACCTGCACCAACAACCGTGTGAATCTCATCGATAAAAAGGATAATCTGCCCATCTGATTCTGTCACTTCCTTGAGCACCGCTTTAAGTCTATCTTCAAATTCTCCACGGTATTTTGCCCCAGCAATAAGAGCACCCATGTCCAGTGATATCAACTGGAAACAGATAGGTCAAATAGTTCAAACTCTGGTACTATGTGATACTTCAAAGTCATATCATGGAGACACTCCTCCCGTTCTCAATCCCATGACAACCCAGAAATGAGAGGGGTTAAGAGAAAAGAGAAACTACAAGTTCCCTACAGTTATTGGCAGAAAACTCAAGACTAAACACGTACCCTTCGGTTCATGAGAGCTTGAGGGACATCTCCTTGCACAATTCTCTGGGCAAGCCTGTAGAAAAGCATAAGACGTACCAACACATTAGTACGTTGGCAGCATAAGCAGCAAATACAGCTTCCAAAGTAGACCAACCCAAAAAAAAAAGAACCAAAAAAATAAATAAAAACAAAAAACTCCCCCAAAAAACCCACAAAAAGAAAGTCTCAATTAAAATCAATGGTCCTAGTTAGCATTCAAATGGTTGTAACTTGATCAGGTCCTTTCTCTTTTTAGCCGTGGTTCCAACAGTTATTTATCGTAACTGAATGTGGCGGCGATCATGCATTATAGCACTTTTGGGTTAGTCAAATTGTTTGTCTAAGCTTGGGTCAACTTAAAAACACTTATTTCATGAGCAGTGAGCAGAACAAGCATAGGCTGATGAAATTTCA